ATTATTTTTTTTTAACGTTTAAAATTTATTATTTTTGTCAACATTATTTAAGAAAACATCATGAAAAATTTCTCCAGAAGCTATTTCAACATTATTTTTTCTCAAGAAGCATGTTCTACCGAGCAACATGAAAGTAAATAAGGTTTGAATGATGTTGAAGAGATTGTCAAGTAAGAGAGAGAGAGATTGAAGTGAGACTTACAGAACTTTTCTTATGTTCACTTGAAAGATTTTATAGAAATTAATGAATATATTTAAAGAACAAGATGAAAAAAAGTTATTGAGAAGTTATAAGAATTTTCAACGATGAGGGGAAGAGGGAAGATGAAGATAAATTTGAGAGAATTTGTAATGAATATTTTTTAAATTTTAGTAATAAAGTTTTAGGTTTTGAGGATCACCTTTGTGTACTTCATCTGCAATAATAAAGCACCTATTATCTTGGAATTTATTACAAAGAAATTCTATCGCTTTATAAATACTTTTCTAGTGTTTTATTCTAGAAATTTATTTATTTATTATATTATTTATTAATTCTAGTGCTTCGTGATCTTTGAAATTAATTTAATATTAATGTATTTTCTGAAAAATAACTATCATATCGCCTCTAAATATGACTATTTTTATATAATCAATCAACCATATTTTCATTTAGTCGTCTACAATATCTCAGCAATGGCATTTGTAGACTTTTCCAATAACATTTTTGAATTAATTCGAAATTAACTGTCTCAAGTTTTATTATTATTTGTCACGAATTTACATTAATTTAAACACAGATTGTACTTTAAGCTTCTGTATTCAACAAGTAAAAATCTTATATTATTCATCCTTAGAATTCCTTAATTGTTAACAATAAATTGATGGATTTGTGCTTAAAATACCGAATTTAAGACCTTTTATCTATATACAATAAAACTTGTGTAAACCGGAATCTAAAAGTTTTTCCGGTTTAGGCAGGTTTCCGTTGTGGACAGGTTTATCATATTTTATAAGTGCAATGAAGCATTATTCTTTCCATTCATCAACTTAACAATTAACAAAGGCAATTATTATAATATAATAGAAGATTTTTCTCTTTAAGTATTGTGTTAAATTACAACAGAAGCACCGAAAAATCGTTTGAACTAAGAAAAAAATTTCTTCCAAAATTTTTTTAACCTCTAAAAATCGATAGAAGAGGAGTGATAACATCAGTTAAATCTTTCTTGAATTTTTCGTGCCGCTCAGACATGCAAATTTCCATCTTAAACCGAGAACATAAACATAACGTGATGTTTACAATCATCACGCTATTCATACTTTATTATTATTATTTTACTTTTCTTCTATCAACAATTACCGAGTTATTATTGACATCAGTTAGATAACAATTGCCACTTCTGGAACATATCGAGTTTAAATGGCCAAATCAAGTGAGGAAAATTAGTCAGTAGGAAATATAACAGAAGTGAAGACAGCTGGTCTTTTTCTCAATCCTATTCTTTGATTTGTTATTGTTATTTGTAAAAGATTTTCTTCTATATGCAACACGTGGATCGATAAATTGGGATAGAAGTAGGAGAAATGCCTATTGTTCTCCGTTACATCATCGTGGAAGCTTAATATACGATATCAAAGAATCTCTTCAATAATTTTCCTATATTTATTAAATATTAATATTGATATTTATATTAGAAATAAAGATTTGACCGCATACTTCTGCCATATTAAAGAAAGAAAAAAAAATCCAGCAACGAGTTGAGTAACATTCCCGGTAATATTTAAAACTGAGTGTGGCAACATCTGTTATGATATTTTACTTAAGAATTTTTTATATTATTTATTATTATAAAATGGCAAAAAGTTTAATTTTGAG